ATTGCATTGAACCTGTATAGTGCTTTTGGTAGTATGGTCATTTTAATAATATTAATTCTGCCTATCCATGAGCAAGGTAGCTCTTTCCATCTTCTAAGGTCTTCTATTTCTCTTTAGGGTTCTATAGTTTTCATTGTAAAGATCTTTCACCTCTTTTGTTAGGTTGATTCCCAAGTATTTTATTTTTTTAGGATATTGTAAATGGGGGAGTTTTCTTCACTTCCTTTTCAGAGAATTTGTCACTGATAAACAGGAATGCCTTTGATTTATGGGTGTTGATTTTATATCCTGCCACTTTGCTGAATTCATTTACTAGTTCTAGAAATCTCTTGGAAGAGTGTTTTTTGGGTCTTCTAGATATAGAATCATATCATCAGCAAATATGCTAGTTTAAGTTCTTCTTTTCCTATAGTTATTCCTTTAATTTCTTTCATCTAATTGCTCTGGATAGTGTTTCAAGAACTATTGAATAGAAGTGGTAAGAGAGGGCATCCCTGTCTTGTTCCAAATTTTGGAGGGAATGCCTTCAGTTATTCTCTTTAGAATATGCTGGCCTGAGGCTTAGCGTAGATAGCTTTTACAATATTGAATTACGTTCCTGTTATCCCTAGTTTTTCTAGTGTTTTGAACATAAAGGGGTGCTATATTTTGTCAAATGCTTTTTCTGCATCTATTGAGATGATCATATGGTTCTCTTTAAGTCTATTGATGTGATGAATTATGTTTATTGATTTCCATATGTTGAACCAACCTTGCATCCCGGGGATGAATCCCACTTGATCATGGTTCACAATCTTTTTTATATGTTTTTGTATCCGATTTGCCAGAATTTTATTGAGGATTTTTGCACATATATTTACTAGAGATATTGGTTTGAAATTTTCTTTCTTTGAGATCTCTTTTTCTGGTTTAGGAATCAGGGTGATAGTGGCCTCGCAGAATGAATTTGGAAGTACTCCCTCTTTTTCTATTTCCTGAACCTGTGGAGTATTGGAATTAGTTCTTCTTTAAAGGTCTTGTAAAACTCGGCTGTATATCCGTCCAGTCCTGGGCTTTTCTTGGTTGGCTTCTTCTATTTCCTCACTTTGATATTGGTCTGTTTAAGTCGTGTATATCTTCCAGACTATATGGGCAAATTATATGACTTAAGAAATTTATCGCCCCACTGGCTGCTCTGAAAAGCCATCTTTGCATTGTTCCTGGGTCCAGCTCCCCTCTCGCGGCAACAACCTCCGCCGCCCGCCTCCACCTCCGCCGCGGACTCCGGCAGCTCTATTGCCAGAGTCCCTGAACTCTAGTTTCCTTTTTAACCCACTGCATCGGATCAGGATCACCGGCGTGCCCCACCATGTCAGACGCAGCCGTGGACACTAGCTCTGAACTCACCACCAAGGACTTAAAGGAGAAGAAGGAAGTTGTGGAGGAGGCAGAGAATGGAAGAGACGCCCCTGCTAATGGGAATGCTAATGAGGAAAATGGGGAGCAGGAGGCTGACAATGAGGTAGATGAAGAAGAGGAAGAGGGTGGTGAGGAAGAGGAGGGAGAAGGAAGGTGATGGTGAGGAAGAGGATGGAGATGAAGATGAGGAGGCTGAGGCAGCTACGGGCAAACGGGCAGCTGAAGATGACGAGGATGATGATGTTGATACCAAGAAGCCGAAGACCGATGAGGATGACTAGACAGCAAAAAAGGAAAAGTTAAACTAAAAATAAAAGGCCACCGTGACCTATTCACCCTCCACTTCCCGTCTCAGAATCTAAACGTGGTCACCTTCGAGTAGAGAGGCCCGCCCGCCCACCACGGGCAGTGCCACCCGCAGATGACGTGCGCTCTTCACCACCCAACCAAAACCACAACGTGAATTTGCAACAGGGGAGGAAAAAAGAACCAAAACTTCCAAGGCCCTGCTTTTTTTCTTAAAAGTACTTTAAAAAAGGAAAATTTGTTTGTATTTTTTATTTACATCTTATATTTTTGTACATATTGTTAGGGGTCAGCCATTTTTAATGATCTCGGATGACCAAACCAGCCTTTGGAGCGTTCTCTGTCCTACTTCTGACTTTACTTGTGGTGTGACCATGTTCATTATAATCTCAAAGGAGAAAAAAAACCTTGTAAAAAAAGCAAAAACAACAAAAAAACAATCTTATTCCGAGCATTCCAGTAACTTTTTTTGTGTCTGTACTTTAGCTGTACTATAAGTAGTTGGTTTGTATGAGATGGTTAAAAAGGCCAAAGATAAAAAGGTTTCTTTTTTTTTTTTCCTTTTTTTGTCTATGAAGTTGCTGTTTATTTTTTTTGGCCTGTTTGATGTATGTGTGAAACAATGTTGTCCAACAATAAACCGGAATTTTATTTTGCTGAAAAAAAAAAAAAAAGAGATTTATCAATGCCTTCACTATCTTCTTTATTAGAGTATAAGATTTCTTTCAAACTAATAACTCGCTTATGGAACATGAGTTTAAACCAGTTTGGAAATCCTAGTGAAGAAGGGAAAGCCCTTCCACCAGAGATAGCAACCAGGTTCTAATAAACTGAAATCTGTAATTATCTCGTCTCTGGTCTTTGTAAGGCACTACAGAAATTGGCAAGGTCAGACTTCTTATACTGGCCAGAATGACTTATTCCTGTTACAAGAATAACAGATAATGGGGCAAGGATGACAAAGTCTAAAACCCAAGGTATACACTGGAGAGATTCTCATTCTATTTAATAATAAAAGCAATGTTCTGGGCAGGGACATTAAGGACACTGATCCTTCAGAAGTAAAGATGTGGAATACTTAACTAGGAAAAGAACACTGAAGTACCACAGTACTGTGAGTAGATGAGAGGACTTCAAGACCAAAGTTGCCACTCATTCTAAATTACCAAGGTGGAAAATGTAGCATCCATGCATGTGTTAATCGATCTGTGTGCACATTATTGGACATGCCAAAACTACCCTGTGGAATGTGTATTAATCTTTATTAAGTAGATGAGTAAACTACTTAACTTTATTTAGTTAGTAGATAAGTAGGCACCTAGCAGAATCGGTGCTGAATCCACGTCTGCTTTATTATGAGACCTAACCTTCAGTGATGGCTTACTCATCTGCTGGAAACAACAAAGGGTCTGCCGTGTTTAAAGCAGTCAATTTGAGTGTCTACAAACTCAGTTTTAAAAAAAAAAAAATCAAGGAAGAAGTGATCTGTATCTGTTCTGCTTTCTGGGAATACTTATGTTCCTGAAATTGAGTACAATCTGGAATTGTCACCTGATAGTCTTTCACGGAGAAAGAAAAACTTTTAAATAGACCTGGAAATTTCAAAGCATGAAGTATTTTTAGGTTTTCTATATCTTGAACTTTCCTTTATATTTGTTTAGACATTTCTTGGTCCCTTATAACTTAATAAGTTTATGTTGAAAGGAACTGAGAATTCCAGTCTCGCCACCCTTTTCTCCTCTACAGTTTATGTCCACTCATTGCTCTCTGCCTTGAAACTTCTACTCTCTCAGGGATGTTGCCAAAATGAGGCTCTTTCCTATACCTTCAGCTCTAGTGCTCTTATGTCTACTATGTCACCTCAAGCAAGTAGCTTCACTATGTTCAGCCTCAGTGTGTCTCCTGCAATGTGACTGTAAAAACCCCTAAATCACCAAATTGTTGTATAGCTTAAAAAACATAACCAGACACATCATTATTATGATAGCCCAAAGGTGGAAGCAAGCCCAGTGTCCCTCAACATATATGCATTTAGTTTATCCGTTCATATTATTCAGTCTTAAAAAGGAAGAATATTGGCACATGTGACAATAATGGATGAACCTGGAGGACATCATGGTAAGTGAAGTAGCCATGAAACAAATACTTTGATTCCACTTACATGAGTCATCTACATTAGTCAAATTTACAGAGGCAGTAAGTGAAGGGGTGGCTGTCAGGGACTGGAGGAGGCATATAAATGGGTACATTTAATGTTTAAGGGGTAGAGAATTTCAGGTTAGGCTGATGAAAAAGATCTGCAGGTGGACGATGGTGGTTACCCAACAATGAGTGTACTCAATCATGTAAATGATTAGGATGGTAATTTTTATGTTCTATGTATCTTATCACAATAATGACCTGAGACTATCCCTAGTTCAGTGACAAGAATACCGTTTTTTGTTTTGTTTTTTCTTCAATAAATGCCAAGTCCGTTGCACTCATTGGAATGACATCTGCCTTAGACTTCGTGGAACAAATCTCCCACCCCTGGATTTTAAAAAAAATATCCGTTATGTGAAAAAGAATTCATTTCTGGAAGACGGCAGATGATGGCAAGCAAAAGATAGCGCCCTGCCTTGCCTCTGCATCCAGACCACCTCAAGAGCAGCTCCCAGACGTGGACACAGCACATAGGTGTGGAGTGAGGATCAGTGTCAAAGCAGCCACACTTCCATTTGTAGAGAAACATTTTAGTCAAAGGAGACACACGGCAGGGGGCGTGCCCTCGGCTGACTGCTCTGTGCTTTCCCTGGTCCCTGCTTCCCAGAAGCCAGAGACAGCTGACACCGCCCGCCTCCGCTTTGCTTTCTCCCGCCCACATCCCCTCTCTCCTCTCTAACTAGTCGCCTCTCTCCTCCCCACGCCCTTCAGTTCTCCGCTCCTCCCATTGCTCCTCCCACTGCTCCTCCCATTTCCTTTCAGGCTTGCCTCTGAGAGGAAACTGAAAGTGAAATAGGGAGCCACGGCCAACTGATCAGGTAAGTGGGGCCTGCTAGACCAAGGCACCCCGGTCCTGCCAAGGGGACCTCTCCCCCATGCCAGGATTTGAAGAGCCCCTTCCAACCAGTGACCACCCTAGAGCACTTAGTCCTAGCGCCTTCTGGACAGGAGTGCTGGCTCCCCCATGCCCAGGGGTTCATCCCATGCTGGCCTGTCTGGGAGGAAGCTGCGCTCTGAGTGACTTCAGAGTCACCTGGAAGGGGCTCCCGCTGCCCTGGATGCAGGTATCTCAGCTGGGACAAGGGGATTGGTGAAGCTGGGAGGAATTAGCATTATAACTGAGCCCAGAGGGTGGCCCAGGGGAACCTACATGAGACGACCCCCTCCCCCTGCCAAAGTCCCCCTTCTGGGGGTTGAGGGGCAGCCCATTTAGAATGTTCACCTAGAGGAAGTGGAGTCAGGTTCTAAGTTTGGAACAGCTGAGAGATCCCAGTGAGTGCTGTGTATGTGTCTGTCTGTACGCATATGTATCCTTGAATGCACATACATATATTCAAAACATCTGTATATAATATACATTTACATTTATTTTGACATAAGCAATCATACATCCCTTAATGATGTACTATTAACTGATTTCACTGTTATGCAAGCATCAGAGTGTACTTACACAAACCTAGATAATGTAGCCTATTACACACCTGGGTTATATGATATAAACTATTGTTGTACCATAGTGCAGTCCATCACTGACCAGTATGTCATGTGGCGCATGACTGTATGTCACCCAACTCCTGCCATTATTTTATAGATTAATGAAGACCAGGTGTAAAACATGAATCACCTCTGTGGAGTGTGGAAGGTACATGGTAAATGGTCACTATTATAATTAGCTTATAATTGACATGATGGCTTGGTGGCATGAGATGGGAGAATGTAGATGGGAAAAGACTGGGCACTGAGGATTTAAGCAGGGATGGGCATGATGAAAGTATCACTCATCATGTATAATTCAACAGCTTTACCTCTAAGGTTCCCACCAATCTTCTCTACTTCCTCTGGAGACTTGATTTCCTCCTCTGACTGGATCATTGGGCCAGACTACAGAGAGGTCCTTGGTGGTCAGTTTGATAAATTCTTATTTTCACTCCTCCAGTTCAGTCTCATGTCTTCCTCTTATAGACTAGTTATAGATAGTTTTTCTCATACAAACCTCATCTTCTCTTTTCCCTTATTCTCTACCCATAAGCCTCCCCAAAATCTTCAGTTCTGCTTAAGAGGGACATCACCACTATGGCCTCAGCAATACCCCTGGAAATGATGTGGGAAGAGGTCACATGCGCTATCTGCCTCGATCCCATGGTGGATCCTGTGAACATCGAATGTGGCCACAGCTTCTGCCAAGAATGCATCTCTCGGGTTGGGAAAGACGGAGGCAGTGTCTGTCCTGTGTGCCGGCGGCACTTTATGCTCAGGCACCTCAGGCCCAACCGGCAGCTAGCCAACATGGTGGAAAACCTTCGACGAATAGGCCAGGATGCCAAGAAAGACACACAGGGAGCGCGCTGTGCTGTGCATGGAGAGAAACTTCACCTGTTCTGTGAGAAAGATGGGCAGGCCCTTTGCTGGGTGTGTGCCCAATCCAAGAAACACCGTGACCACACCATGGTCCCTATTGAGGAGGCTGCTCAGGAATATCAGGTGAGACATTAGCACAAACACTGGAATCCCTGGAGAAGATGGGCCCTGATGAGTGTCTGTTCCCTAGAGCAGCAGAAAGAAAAGAGCTACCTCTGGAGTTGAAGTTGGGGGAAAAGGAGGAATACTTCTTTCCTTCCCTGTCTAAGGGGAAATTGCAGGTTACAACCTTCTCCTCCCAAGGATAGGGGATCTGCTATGGGAAAATACTTCAAAGATCATGTTTCCTCTTGGCCTCCTGGTTAATTAGAAATGAGTAATACCCCCATCCTGCCACCCCATTAGAAGAGCTCTGTTTCATAAGACGTATTAGGTTTTTGCCAAAGTAAAATTTTGGAGTAGGAATTCTGTAGATGGGAATTCCTGTGTCAGTCAGTCTCTAGTCCTCCCTCCTTCTTTGTACTTGGTCTTTTTCTAAGAACCAATATGATCTTGCCCCAATCCACGCCCCTCATCCTACTTTTTGGTCTGGTGAGGGATTAACCTGCTATCCTTCTCCACAGGAGAAGCTCCAAAAGGCATTAGAGAAACTGAGAAAAAAGCAGGAGTTGACCGAGAAGTTGGAAGTGGATCTTGCAATGAAGAGAGCAGACTGGAAGGCAAGAGTTAAAGTCTGGGAAGGGCCCAGGTTCTTGAACTTGGGGAATCTTAACTAGCTATACCTTTGAGGAGGAATGGAGTTGGTATATCTCACTCTATGAATGGTCTACCTCCTAGGTCTCTGTATAGAGAGGAATAAAAAGAATGGGGGCTTTTTAACAGGCATAAAGATTGAGCATCACTGGAGAAGGTACTGAAAGGCTCAAACTGAGCTATTCTGAGCCCAGTTTCAGGGGATTACAGCATCAGCATTTCGGTGTCTGTGACAGAGTTATCCTAAGAAAGAAACCAACTGTGAGGCCATATTAGTAAATGGCAGGGGCTATGAAGACAGACTGAAGGAATCCATCAAGGTCAGAGGCAGGAAAAAACAGTCTGACCAGATAGTTGCTTGACCGTGTCCAGGTCTCTGGCCCAAAGTATAATGGAGAACTAAAGCCTATTCCAAAATGGTGATTTTTTTTTCTAGAAGAGGTAGGGAGTGTCCAGGATCAGAGGGCTATGGAAGGATCTCAGTACATATACCCTTTTGCCACTTATACCCTGACAGTGGTAAAAGAGTATATTCTATGTTATTGGTTGGCCCTCTAGTCTCTAGCAGGAAAGGGCAATCCAAGAATATCCCAAAGCCACCCTTTCCCTGGAATTTAGGAATGGTATTGTGATCCTGTCTTTGTGAAGTTGTCATGAGTGAGAGCAGGTTTTACTCTCTGTAACTCCTTGAGATGCAAAGGACAAATGGACTTTCAACTGCATTTTGGAAGAAAGGTTGAGAAGTATCTGCTGATGCCATATGTTGATGTGGCTGTGATTGTAGGATAGCTACAATGTGCCCCTACCACTACCAATGCTAATTCCAGAAGCTTCATACACTTGCCTACCAAAGTCCCCAGAAAATTGTGTGTGTGTGAGTTCTCAGACATAATCAGACTGTTGAGTCTTCAAGAGACAGAAATGGGCAACAACACCTCCATCCCCAAAGCTTGGGAAATTTTCATAGAAACCATCTCTTTCTCCTCACATAAAGAGGCAGGTTGAGACACACAAATCAAGGATTCATGCAGAGTTTATGCAGCAGAAAATCTTTCTGGATGAAGAAGAACAGAGGCAGATGCAGAAGCTGGAGAAGGATGAGATGGAACAACTTAGAATCCTGGGGGAGACGGAAGCTGAACTGGCCCGGCAAAGCCAGGCCCTGCAAGAGCTGATCTCGGAGCTGGAGTGGAAGAGTCGGGGCTCAGCACTGGAGCTCCTGCAGGTGAGTTGGGAAGAAGGGTTCTAGGAGTGATTGAGGGGAAAAAATTGAGATAAATATCTAACCATGAGGAGGTTTTTAATAAATACAACTAAAAAAAAATGAAGTGAAACTTAAGAGACAGTGGCTCCTGCTCTGCCACCAATTCTCTCCACAACTCTAGCTTAAGCCCCTTTTCTTTTCTAGACCTGTCGTCTCTATTTTTGATACCAGTGGACTAAATAACGATAGTTCTCCTACTGTTACTCATAAGCACATCATCTGTACACTCTCTGCTATTTCTACGGACTAAATGATCTTAATGTTATTTTTCTTTAAATTGCCTCACTTTTTCCTGAATACATTTAGTTTTAAAAGATTTTTTCTAGAACAATAGTAGCCAATTTTCATGTATTTATTAATAACTACAAATTCTTACAATACATATGACTTGCCAAACTTTGTGGGTGATACTACTTTCCATTTCATAAATAAGACAACTAAGAAATAGTTGTTAAGAGATGTTAATCAGACTAAATCAAATGATTTAACGAAGTTCACTGAAGTAGTAAAAGTAAAGATTAACTTTGCTTTTTTTTTTTTTTTAATGTATGTATGTCCTGCTTAAAATCATCTTGCATCCACCAATGGGTTATGTTGTCCTCACTTTGGAAAACAAAGTGGTATCAGAAGTTCCTCTGCTCTAATGTTCTATGGTTCTTTTCCCACACCTTTCCAGTCAGATGTGGTCATGAAAATAGTCCTGTTTCTTGTTGTTGTTCTTGTTTTAAAGACAGAGCCACTGTCTGATTTATATTGGCTTGACTTGGCAGGCTGTCTTCTGCCCAACACTGAACTGGACTTCCTGATGCCCTTTTGATTGGGCCTAGGAGTGAGCCAGTTCCCATGTGAGGGCCTCCAGCCCTGCAATCTAATATGCTCAGTTGATTGGACAACATTACCCACAGCACAGGACACAGCATTAACTAAACCTTCTCCAAACAACTCGGCCCACAAGTAAAAGGGTGCTGTTTCTGGGCATCCTACCTGAGCCTCTTTCCCCGTGACTGTCTCTGGGCTTTTCTCAGGCTGTGCTATTTTCCCTCTTCCACCTTCCTTCCTCCCCCAACCCCCTCTAAGAATCTGATCTTTCCAATTTGTTTTCTGAATCGGAGTCCTTAAACTGAGGATCCTTCCCTGGCTGTAGGATACACCTATGCTGGGTTTCTGGTTACCCCACAAGCATCCCCACATTCTTTCTGCTACAAGCTGGTCAGAATCATCATTTGGGCCTTGGACCAGAGGACCAGGGCAAAGCGGATCCCCAGGGATCAGAGGGTGATACCACCTTACCACAACACTAAACTCTACATTTGAGTCTGAAACTCCAAAACTTACACTCTCTCTTTTCTCCTCAGGAGGTGAAAGTTGTCCTGGAAAGGTAAGGAGAAATTTTCTCCCCAAAAGAACGGGTGGCAGGAAGCGCATATCTATTGATTGACGGGAAAAATTTCAGGGCATGCCTTTCTACATATGCCTCCCAAATCTCAAAGACCTGACCCTCTATAAAATATTTTCTGGTCTCATAAAGCTAATAAATGGACACCTCAATTGGTAAATTGTCCAAAGTAATCAGACTATCGCATTGTCATACAGTAAAGCTCCAACAAACAAGGATGTTCTGGGAAGTTCTGAATCCACAGCCTGCTGGGACTTATTTTCTAGATGTGACCTAACCAGTTGCAAACCTCTCAGAATGAGCCATGAGTAAGATCCACTGCATGGGCAAGATTCCTCAAGGTTCATTAGAGAAGTGATTCAGCCTATATCACATGCCTTGCCTGTAAAATGAAACAGAACACACTTGTGTGTTGACCCTGGGCTTGAGAAGAACTGTAGAATACCCACAGTCTGCAGAGGTTCATGGACCCAGGAACTCTTTGATAGAAATTAAACACCATATTCTTTCTTTTTTTTTTTTTTTCTCTCACCTGGACACTAGAACATGAGGTGTTTATAAGTTTCATTAGGATGTAGGATAGAAGTGGGAGACAGATCTCGAATTCTTTCCCCCAGGAGTGAGTCCTGGAACCTGAAGAAGCTGGACATTGACTCCCCAGACCTAAGAAGTATCTGTCACGTGCCAGGACTAAAGAAAATGCTGAGGACCTATGGAGGTGAGGTGACCTCTAGGAGTTGCTAGGTTAGAGCAAAAGGGAATAATGGGAGGGCAGAGGATCTCGGGGTCAAGAAGGAGAGGTGGCAGGTCAGGGTACATGGGGAATAGTTAGAGAAGGTTCCTTCAGATGTCAGGATAAGGCTGGAGTTGGCTGGGTGTCATTTCATCATATGATGTTCAGGGTCACCCCCTCAATGGGGAGTGTCTCCCCATGAGGAGCACAGGATTACTGACACTGCCCCTATAACACACAAGACCTATGTCCTCTTTCTGTAGTATACATCACTCTGGATCAAGACACAGCCAATCCATGGCTCATCCTTTCAGAGGATAGGAGACGAGTGAGACTTGGAAACACCCGACAGGATGTACCAGAAAATGAAGAGAGATTTGATAATTACCCTATAGTCCTCGGTGCCCAGAGCTTCAACTCTGGAAAACACTACTGGGAGGTAAATGTGACAGGAAAGGAGGCCTGGGACCTGGGGGTCTGCAAAAACTCTGTACGGAGGAAGGGGCAATTTTTGGTCAATACTGAGAATGGTTTCTGGACAATTTGGTTGTGGAACAAAGAAAAGTATGAGGCTGGCACTTGTCCCCAGACTCCCCTCCATCTTCAGGTGCCTCCGTGCCAAGTTGGGATTTTTTTGAATTATGAGGATGGCATCGTCTCCTTCTATAACATCACTGATCATGGCTCCCTCATCTACACCTTCTCTGAATGTGCCTTCACGGAACCCCTGCGGCCCTTCTTCAACCCTGGTTTCAATGATGGAGGAGGAAATGCAGGCCCTCTGGCCCTCTGTCCACTGAAAACGGGATGGTCAAAATCGGGTGTCCCTTCTCAGCCATGAACCCTGCCTTTATCCCATGAACTCTGAACTATCTTGTCTCTGCATAGGTGGCAGGGTCTCGGCAAGCAGGCTTTAGCAGGGAGATCACTGAAAGCCAGATGACCTTCAATATCAATATCCCTGCCCTAGATTCCTTTAGGATGCCCTCAAGTGAAGGCAGTTCCTCATATCTGACTCAAAACTCGACCAAAAACCATGTTTCTGCCTCCTTTATGTGACTTGTATAACAATATCTATCTCTAGGCTATTACCTTTGGCCTGTCTTTTTCATGGTTTGGAAAAGGGCTTCCTAACTACATTGTGCTTTCAGTCTCCAATTTACTCATTGTTCCTTAAACCCCAAATATTGAGGTTCCCTACTGTGCTGGGGATTGAACCTGGGACCTAATGCATGCTAGGCAAGCACTCTACCACTGAGCCACAATCCACAGACTTAAACCCCAAATACTTGAACAGTTCTAAACATAATTAATGTTGGTGGGTTTTGGGGTTTTTTTAGCATTGTACAAGGTTTGTGGATTTTTGTTTTTGTTTTTTGTTTTTTAATACAGCCCTTGCTGCTCTGCCATTGCAACTTATTTTTTAAATGGACCTTTCTTTCTCTTCTCTCCCTGCTCCTCCCTAGTCTTGGGGAAGCAGGATTACCTTTCTTCCCCATTGTAACCAGATTTATCTGTCCTTGAGTACACACCCACCTTAGGAACAAAGTAACCCAAACTTTGGGGATGGTACCACAAAATCAGAAATGACTGTCTCCCAAATAAGTAAGTTGCAACTCTGACAGAACACAGGGAATGTGGTTTCTGAATCACCTCTTTAAAAGCCCCCTTGTTCCTGCTGATGGGCAGAATCACTGCCTTTGGGACAGGAGTCCCCTGTGTATCTCCTTTGCTCAAAACTTTGTCCTTGTTATTGAATTGCCATGGGGGACAAGAACTGAGCTTTCAGCAAAAACACCTTCTGTCCATGTTCTCATATTTTTACTAGTGATAACATCAAAGTTCCTGGAACACTGTTCATATAGTCCAGCCTGGAACAACCCCCTATTATGATTTGGATAGGGGGTATTCCCCCAAAAGTTCATGTCATCCAATGCAGCCATGTTCAGGGGTAAAATGATTATGAGAGCTATGACCCAATCAGTGACTGATTCATTAAATGTATTAACAGTTTGAAAGGATTGCTGTACTAGATGTAACTACAGGCAGGTGGGATGTGGCTGGAGGCAATAGGTCACAGTAAGCCCTTGGAGATTATCTCTTCACCCTGGCTCTTTGCTTTATCTGGGTTGTGGGGTTTTTTTGTTGCTTTTATTTTTTATGGTTGCCACTACCATATGATGAGCTGCTTTCCTCTACCCCACCCTTCTACCATGATGGTCTGCCTTACTTTAGGCCCAAAGAAATGGAGTTAATCGGCCTTGGATTGAACTTCTGAAACTGAACCCAAATAAACGTTTCCTCCTCTAAGTTGTTCTTGTCAGGTATTTTTGTCACAGGAATAAAAAGCTGATGAACATGCCCCCTGATTTCATTGTTCTTCCCAGAAAAATGGCAAACTCCTACTCTCCCTAGAACATCCAGTTTTATCACCCCACTTTCAAATTCCCCTTTCTTTAGGCAAGTATTTCTGGTTTACATAGAATAAGTGTTTCTAAGACATAGCAGAGAAGGGTGGCTGTGGCCACATCTCCAATTATGAGGAAGTGGTTTTGAGCCTGGAGAAATATGTCTGTCAGCATGCATTCCAGGTCAGCAGGTGACACACAGAACCAAGGAGAAAGAACAAGTTTGTCTTCCAGGTTCTCCTAAAAAGATACTTCTGAGGATGAAGTATCCCATCATCCAAGGTGAGGAGAGGATTTGCTTTTATTTTCCCCTCCATGCAAATAGTGATGGTGAAATGAGTTTCATCTCCTTCCTGTTGTGACCAGCTTACCTCATCTCAAAGTCCTGCCCCCAGCGCACATCTCCAGCTTGAATGGTTTGATGGTGGAAAGCGGTGTGTGTGAAAGGGCATAAAAAAGAAATCCAAACCATGGATTCGGCCACTAACAAGCTCTCTCAAATATGTGTACCTCAGGCCTGTGTGTCTGGAGCAGGAGTCTCCCTATGGGAGGACAGAATAGGCACAATTGCAGTGACCAACATTGCATTTCTGTGGAGAGGGCATAGCATCTGACAGCCTCAGCAGAAAGAGATCCAGGAGGGTAGTGTGGTTTCTGGGTTCAGAAGTAGGAGGTGGGACACAGACTCTGCCTAGAAAGTATGTTGTGACAACTTCCTCCTTTTCCTTCTCCTTGCTTTCTCAAACACAGAGCATCCTTCATCATCTGTTTCCTCTCTGATAGAAGAGACTATTCTGCCTGTTCTCACCTCTTCCTTTCCTCCAGATTCAAGACGACTTGGATGATTCTGCCCCATCCCACTCACCTCACCCCTCTCCCTTGGAATTCCAACCCCTCAGTCCTGTTGTAACCCATGTTGTCCCCAAAGATTGGGCTCATTTTACCTTTCAGAATTGTGGAACCAATAAAATGGATTGAACAGTGAAGGAGACTTTTAATTCATGAATGATAACAGAAGTGGGAGATAAACTCATGAATCAACTTTCCACCCCTTGGGGACTAAAAGCAGAACAGAAAAGTTTTAAATGTATCCACAATTTACCCTGTGTTATGTAGAGTCAGGATCCTATTTATACTTAGTTCTCTCACACCCTTATAATAAATCTACAATCGGGACATAATCAAGACATTTGGGGATTATGGCAACCCCTATATCAAATTCAAACAAATGTATTTTAAGTGATATTAAATGCATGTATATGATTAATATAGGTTCTGTCTAGATGGTTTGTGTGTGTGTGTGTGTGTGTGTGATGCCCTTGGATAAGTGAATTACAGATAGTTTTGTTTAATTTGGTTAGTTTGGTTTTGATTTGCCTCTTTCTGTTACCGCTAAGCACATGCTAAGACTTTAAGAGAATAAGTAATTTTCCCAAGGTCAAACATTTCATTATCACCAGTGAAGTCAGAATTCAAACCAAGTCTGATCCAAAAGCTCATGTTCTTTCCTAAACAATACCCTTCTCTAGTTCACATGGCAATCTGACTCACTTTGAGTCACTTTGCTGTTAGTGGAACTCCCAAGTCATAAGCCTCTACAGAGTAGGCACAAAAAAAGAGAGGGTCTAACATTAGTAAATATACCACCCAATCAAACTCGGCATCATTTCCACTGTAATGACAAAGTACTGAGCACACGCTCTCGAATCTGCCTGGTCTTGATCCCATAAATAATGGGATTCATCATGGGAGGGGCCAACATGCAGACATTGGCCAGAAGAATGTGGGTATGGAGAGGAACATGGTGCCCAAACCTCTGGGTAATTATGGTAAAAATGCCAGGCAAGTAAAACATGGAAATGACCCCAAGGTGGGAACCACATGTGCCTAGAGCCTTTTGCCAAGCTCTTCTGGAAGGAAGGTGGAAGACTGCATAAAGGATGAGGCTGTAGGAAACTAAGATGAGCAAGGCATCTAGCACCACAGTGGAGAGGAGGACAGACAAGCCGTACCAAACATTGACACGGATATCAGCACATGCAAACTTGGCCACAGCCATGTGCTCACAGTAGGTATGCGGCAACCGATTGCTACGGCAGAAAGGCAGTCGCTTCACCAGGAACACATCCGGGAGTATCACGCAGAAGCTTCTCAAGGCCACAGCCAGGCCAATTCTTGTGATTACTGCATGGCTGAGCACTGTGCTATAGTGCAGGGGGTCACAGATGGCCACATAGCGATCAAATGCCATTGCCAACAAAATGCCTGATTCGGCAATGAAAGTTGCATGGATGAAGAAGATTTGGGTGACACAACCATCAAGGGAGATTTCCCCAGCATGAAACCAGAATATGGCCAGGGCCTTGGGCACAGTGGTCGTGGACAGGACGAGGTCAGCTGTAGCCAACATGCAGAGGAAAAGGTACATAGGTTCATGGAGGCTGTGTTCCGTCATGACGACGAGGATGAGGAGGCTATTCCCAAGTAGGGAAACAAGGTAGGAAAGAAAGAAGGGGAGAGAGATCCATGTGTGTTGGTCTTCCAGGCCAGGGATGCCCAGCAGAATGAAGAGTGAGTGGCTGGTATCAGTGTAGTTGAAGGTTGCCATACCTACAGCAGGTCACCAGTGTGGTGGTGTGTAGGATTTGGTAGTTACTCTTCTCTCTTCCCAAAAAGCTGAATGGGATGGAAGTAGGGGAGGAGAGAACAGATCATTTTTCATTGGGAAAAGCAGTGAAAAGCCTGCTGGTCAGGGATTGCAGAGATGTGGAAGAAAATTCCTTGCCATTCTATTTGCTAGCTATGTATCTCGATAAATCACTTCTGAGCTGTGGGTCTCTCTTATATCACCTTAACTACAGTCAGGAGAGGATGAAGTAGATCAACTTTAAGACAGGTCACTCTGCTCAGAAATGCCACAGATCTTAGTCTCAAATTTTTATAAACAGTTAAGAGCTATGAAAAATGAGCATGGTAATTTTCACTTTGATTTCCAGAGTTTGATGTTTCTTAAAAGGAAAATGGTAACTGAGTTGCCTATCAGTTTAACAAGCCCCACTGAGCACCTACTGTGTGCCAGGCATGGCTGCTTGGGGGCATACTTAGAGGGAGACAGAAATTAAGCAAAATACCTATCTACATAATTTTACAATGTAGGGGAAAAGCTAAACTCGGGAAGCTATGGTAAGTTCAGGAGTCCAGAAAAAGGCTTTCTAAAGGTGCTCCCTGAGTTTCACCTTGAAGAATAAGTAAAAGTTTGCTAAGTCAAGAGAGGTGATGAGGGAATAACTTGAATAAAATCATAGACATGTGAAAGGGCATGGGGTTTGGAGGAAAATTATAATGGCTCAAAGATAACAGCAAAGCAGACATGGTAGAAAATGACTCTGGAGAGTGAAGTAGAAACCAAATCATTGAGGACTTTGAGTACTTCTCTCATGGCTTTAGAATTTATGATAAAGTGATAAGAGAGACTGAAGGATTTGTAGTGTTAAAATAAAAGGAAAATTATGAAAACATTGAAATTTTTTCAAAATGAAATCAAGGCCATTGAGGGAGCAGGACTTACATACATCTGAAGCTGCCACCTGGAATGTGACTTTGGTCACCTTCACCTTTTAACTGTAGGCAACTGGAAGAACTAGGTTATTTACATTGTCATGCACACAAAAAGATTTTCAGACTCTTGTTTTCTGGACATTCCCATTGTACATCTTCTTATTTTCCACTGGTCACTAGTCCTTGTTCTTTCTCCACATTTCCATAGACGTTTCCTACAAAGGAAGTTTTGCATCTTTTTTATTGATTTTTTTTTAATAAATGAAAGCAGAATGAGTTTTGCATCTTTATAATCAGCACTGCTTGCCCCTAGAACTCCCACTTTCCCTGCCTTCTTCGAATACTGATTGAGAGCTATCTGAATCTGTACTTCCCAAATTGCAATTCCTAAGACCCCAAACAAAGTTCTTTTGTTTTTACAGTTTCTGAGTTTAACTTGATTGACAAGAGTGAGGGAATGGCATGAGGAAGTTTGGTTTCTGGTAGCTCTCTTGCAGTATGGTGTGAAGTGGATGGGGAAGGGAGGACTTCATTAAGTAGAGACACTATGCTTTAGGTGCATTATCTCTGTCACCACAGCCTGAGATAACTGTAGTCATTTTCCTATTTTACTGATAGGAGAACAAGCAGAACTGAGAGAACTTAAGAAGTACCCCCACCCAAGGTCACCCGACTTGACAAATAATGGGCCTGGAATTTGGATCCCCAGAGCAAACTTGAATCAATTCCTCTCTGCCCTACTTCTCCCTGCTCCTACTAATCAGGTGGTTGTAGCTCCCTGACTCCTGGTTTTCAAGAAGAAAAATAAAGTCATTTGTTGTTAATTTCCTCGTACTGCTTGTTCTGCCACTACAAATCTATTTATATTCATATCATCTTTTCCAAATGTTCAACATCTCTAGTAACTAGATAAATGCAAATCAAAACTACACTGAAGAGCTGGGGATATAACTCAGTAACTAGAGTGCTTGCCTCACATGCCCAAGACCCTTGGTTCAATTCCTAGCACCACACAGATTCCATCTCACTCCAGTCAGAATGGCAATCATCAAGAATACAAGCAACAATAAAAGTTGGCAAGGATGTGGGGGGAAAGGCACACGCATACATTGCTGGTGGGACTGCAAATTGGTGCAACCATTATGGAAAGCAGTATGGATATTCCTCAGAAAACTTGGAATGGAACCACAATTTGACCCAGTTATTCTACTCCTAGGTTTATACCAAAAGGACTTAAAGTTGGCATACAACAGAGATTACACGACCTGTGTAATTCTACATCATGTACAACCAGACAAATGGGAAGTTATACTCTGTTTATGTTTGTGTCCAAATGCATTCTACTGTCATGAAAATTATCTTTCCCCTCTTCCTCCTGTTTAAGGCTAAACCCAT